CTAAACAATATAAGACATGAAACCAGCAGGCATTTCAGGAACAAAAAAGAGGGAATATCTGAAAGACAAAATTGATGAGATTGCAATGAACAGTAAGAACAAGAATATTAGAGACCTGTATAGAGGAATAAATTACTTTAAAAGGGGTTACCAGCCTAGCAGTAACTTAGTGAAGGATGAGAATGGTGATTTGCTAGCACATTCCCACAACATTTTGAATAGGTGGAGGAACTACCTCTCTGTTATTGAATGTACATAGGGTCAGTGCTGTTAGGCAGACAGAAATCCATACACCTGAGGCGTTAATACCTGATCCTAGCCCTTTTATTGCAAAATTGAAAGTGTATAAATCGCCAGGTAGTGATCAAATTCCAGCAGAACTTATTCAAGCAGGAGACGAAATATTATGTTCTAAGATCCACAATCTAATTACTTCTATTTGGCATAAGGAAAAATTGCCTGATCAGTGGAACGAGTCTATTATTGTAACAGTTCAGAAGAAGGGTGATAAAACTGACTAGTAATTATCGGGGGATATCACTGCTATCAACTTCATATAAAATTTTGTCCAATATTCTTCTTTCAAGGTTAAGTCCATATATATAGATGAAATTGTTGGGGATCATCAGTGTGGGTTTCGACATAACAGATCAACTATGGATCAGATCTTTTGCATTTGTCAGATATTGGAGAAAAAATGAGAGTATGATGAGACAGTATATCAGCTATTCATAGACTTCAAGAAAGCCTATGATTCAGTTAGAAGGGAAGTATTGTACAATATTCTAATAAGAGTTTGGGATACCCATGAAACTAGTTAGGTTGATTAAAATATGTTTAAACGAAATGTATAGTAAAGTCTGTGTAGGTAAACATTTGTCTGATAAATTTCCTATCCAGAATGGTCTAAAACAAGGAGATGCTTTACCACCACTCCTTTTCAACTTTGCCTTAGAATATGCAATTAGAAAGGTCCAGGGAAACCAGGCAGGACTGAAACTAAACGGGACACATCAGCTGTTGGTCTACGCCGACGATGTGAATCTACTGGGTGATAATGTAGATACCATAAATATGTTAGTGTCTTGTTAACAAAATGCAGGTAAAAACCATGACATAAAGATAGGAAACAGATGTTTTGAAAATGTGGCACAGTTCACATATTTGGGAACAACGATAACAGATCGAAACCTGGTTCAGGAGGAAATTAAGAGGCGACTGAACTCAGGTAATGCTTGCTACCATTCAGTCCAGAACCTTTCGTCTTCTCATCTGTTGTCCAAAAACATAAAAATTAGAATATACAAAACTATAATTTTGCATGTGGTTTTGTATTGGCGTGAAATTGGTTTCTGACATTAAGGGAGGAACATATCTGGACCGAAAAGAGAAGTGACAGGAGGTTGGAGAAAACTGCATAATGAGGAGCTTCATAACTTGTACTCTCCTCCAAGTATAATCAGAATGATCAAGTCAAGGAGGATGAGGTGGGCAGGTCATGTAGCACGAATGGGTGAGACGAATGCGTATAGGATATTGGTGGGAAAGCCAAAAGGAGAGATGACAGGGAAGACCAAGGTGTAGATGGGTTGACAATATCAGAATGAATCAGAGAGAGACAGGATGGGATGGTATGGATTGAATAGATCTGGCTCAGGATAGGGACCAGTGGAGGGCTCTTGTGAACATGGTAATGAACCTTTGGGTTCAATAAAATGCTGGGAAATTCTTGAGTAGCTGCAGAATTGTGCGGCTCCTCCAGAAGGGCTCAGCTCCATGAGTAAGTAAGTAAATGTAAACATGTATCTTCAAAGCCATGACCAGTATTATAGACACAAAACAATATGCTACATATTATGTAACTACCAGAATGAAAGTAGACTTCTGTAAAACAGGAACTATATTATTACATTACATAGAAATGTATTACATGCATTTTGTCTCATTTAATATATCCTTTTCCCAGTACATGCATTAATATTAATGGTACTCAACAAATCAGCACACAATAAGCTGAAAATTATACCATACAGATCTCTTTTAAAATAATAATAAAAAACACTCACTCTGTTGTAAGGTGCACTGACAGAAGGAAATGTGTCTGCTCCTAACTTGGTTCAGTATACCCAAAGTCTGGGCAAAACAGCATATCATCTATGCTGTTACAGAAGCAAAAAACAAAGAAATTGGTGCAAAGACATGGCACATATAACTGACGTTCACTGTGTTACCTTGGGAATGAAACTGGCTTGTCTGACAGACAACTGGTAGTTACGAAGTACTGAACAATAATTAAATCCGTTTGTCCAGTAAAGGTGGTTTCAACAAAACTGTCATTTTGCGTTTGGGTCCCTTGTGCACTTACCATTATTTTCCTGACGATACTACCTACATAATTTCATTACAAGTGACGGTCTCCATAAATTACTGCAATTTAATAAAACCCACAGCCATTTTGTTTCTTGCAGCCTATGATTCGTGAAGGTGGAATGTTCATATTCAGTAGGCACTGGCCTATCGTGGATAATTCATTGAACATCGAATATCAATAAAATCTTTCCAACCACTCAGGTGCACATCTATACAGACATATGGCATTCCAGAACCATTTTCTTGTATTCTTGGTGGGGGCACTCAAGATGGTTAAATTCAACAAACTCTCAAGATCAATATTTTTCATGAGCACAGCACTATCTCATATATATATAGAACTAATATGATGAAACACTGTCACAGACTCCCACCACAAATTACTGAAGGAGAGTGGGGGGGGGATACTGCACAGTATTATACACCATATTTGCTTGTGACACATGAACTGCACACACAGTACCAATTAATTGTGAGCTAACTACTCAGGAACACAAAGAAGCACAACTTAGGCTATGGTGGATATTTTAATAATTTAGTCCTATGTAATCTGAGGTAAATAACTTTTTATTCACATACCTTGTTATTACTGTACATCAGCAACACAGCATGCTTCCAAGCACAAATACACTGTTAGGTTACTATGTCAACAAAGAGCATTCTTATTTATGGAACAAAATGTGGAAGACACTGAATGGGGTAATACCACACATTTTGAACAGGCAATTTCAAAAAGTGAAATTTCATTGTTTAATGATGAAATCATATTTTATGTCCTGAATATATGATGGAAAGTCAGAAATTATCAGCACTTTCGCCATAACACATCTTTAGGTTTGAACCAATGCTTTCCGTGCATGCATGCTTAAGAGTTGGTACTTCTGTGGTCACATGATCGAAGTTTGACCTTGACTGTGTCATTTTCCTTGATGCTGTGACAGTGTAAACATGGCCACTTAGCTAGCAGTGTGCACCAAGGAGGAACAAAGAACAGTGATCCGATTTCTCTGGTTGGAAGGTGTGTCAGGGGCTGAAATTCATCGGAGGCTTTCAAAACAATACAGGGACAGTGCCCTACTGCACAGAACTCTGTATGAGTGGATTGAGAAGTTTGAAAGTGGCCGGACAAGAAATTCAAGACTCTATCTTCTGCGGGAAAGATGATGCTAACCGCTCCTTGGGACTCAAAAGGGCCTATACTGGAAGACTACTTGGAGAAAGGGTGTACAATCAACAGTGCAAGATACAGTGATTTGCTGGCCAACAATCTGAAGCCAGCAATTTGCACCAAATGCCGAGGCCTATTGTCGACGAAAGTGTTGTTGTTGCGTAACACTACATGGCCAGCCAAACCGCTGAAACCATTAACCATTTGGGTTTCAAGGTGCTGGAACACCCTGCCTACAGCCCAGATCTCTTTGGACCGCTCAAAGATGCTCTATGAGGTCAACGATTTTCTGCGGACAAAGAAGTGCAGGAAGCAGTGCATAAATGGTTGCGCGAACAACCGAAACCTTCTTCCTGGAGGGAATACACAAGCTTGTGGACTGTTGGACCAAGTGCATTGAAAAGGAAGGAAACTACGTAGAAAAATGATATACTTGTTCAACTGCTACTTTTGTTTATATAAAATTGGAAAGACAAGAGTCCGGATAATTTTTGACTTCCCTACATATGTTATTCATTTCAATCATGCTTTATTAATTGAGGTTAAATACAATTATCTATTATTTAAACAAACAAAGGAAAACAAGCAGAACTTTGTTAGTTCTTATTGTCAGCAACAACATAGTGGGGGCATGAACTTGTGACGTAGGTGTGAATTAGCAATACTTCCAAAATAAGTAGCCAATATAAGCAACAGTATTCAAAGTAACAATATTTGGGGTTAAAAAATGTACAAATTGTACAAAAATCAGGCATATTTAGAATGCAAGATACAAAGAAGGCATGTGTAAAATGTGCATCCCAACACAAACTGCACTTTTCACATCTTGTTACAAAATAAACTAAAATGAGAAATGGATACCACACTAAACTGAAGAGTACTGAAAGGTTACTGGCATTAAAAAGATAATACACATTAGAATTACAACTGCAATGATGTCTGCTCCTTAAATGTGCACCACTCACACCCCCAGAAAACTTCTATTAACCCTTAAAATCTTTTGCAGTCCCAAAAAGGTAAAAGGTAAAGTTGTCCCTGTGCTTAACTAATTAACCACTAGACCATGAAGGCATATGTAAGAGTGGATGTATAAATCCACATTTTCTTGACCTTGGCCTAGTTGGAGGTGAGTGGTCAGCTTCACGCCCTGGCACTTTACCCTTGGGGAAAGGGCCCCCTGGTACCCATTGGATAGGAGGTTGGGTGGACCCCAGAGGCTGCCTGGATGATTTGGAAAAGAGAAAATTCTTGCCCTTACTGGGACTTGAACTCTGACCCCTCGGTCGTCCAGCCCGTAGCCTTTTGAAATCCCACTGACTTTTTATTTATATACCATTCATATAATGATGTCAGTAGTGCAGACTGTACATATGTAGTACCAAATGATAGGACTAATGGATAAATGGAAAGGATGTGGAAAGAAGTGGTTATGGCCTAATTTGAGGTGATTTCCTGGCATCTGCCTGTAAAGGTTCAGGAAAACCAGGAAACACCTCAGTTAGGACACCCCATCTTTGGGCTCAAATTTGAAACTGGGACCTCTTAAATACAAGCAGACGTGCTACTTATACGGCTGTAACATTCAGTTTAAAGTTATCGTAAAGTACAGTACAAGTCTGATCATGGATTAAAATTGACAGAAGCACACTGTCAACTCTCAATGATTTATGGAATATTCATGTTACAAAGTGTAACTAGCTTTAGAAAATATCAGTTTGTTCTTACAAAGATATAAGTTAAAAAATGTTAAAATGTTCACTGTCTTCTTGGATGACAAACATTTTAGCAATTTAATGCAATTCACAGTATTTCATTTCTGCCATGGGTAATTGAAATATTTGGTCTACTTAAAAAGAACGGAAAGTCCCATTATGATGAACAGATCACACCCACACTGAATAGATGAGCTGAGTAACAAAACCACAGTCTGTCTCTTGTTTCATACCTGTGGAAAAGAGTGAGGAAGATGTTGAAATGGCACCAACCTTGGCAGTGTCTTTGAATGTGAACTTGACAGGGGGACAGTCTTCTACTAAACAAAGCTTCTTACTCAAGAAATATGTGTTGGTTGTATATATTTGGACCTTATAGCTGACATTCTTTTGCAAAATTACGGATTCTTTCAGATTGATATCAATCGCTGATCCATATGCTATCTTCGCAGCAAACACAGTGTGACTGATGGGGGTTCCAGACATGTCCAACACAGTGACTATGAAAGATTCATCATATTCTTTCTGCATAGCTTTGGGACCTGCTGCAACTGGAAACCACAATGTGGGAACTTGAATACCATACAGAACAATAGGATGATCCACTCTGACATCAAGAGAGAAGTTCTTGCCTCCAAGGGTTGCTGTCTGTGAAGGTGAAGCAAGTGCCACAACCCGGTCCAATGTGTTAGTATATGAAGAAGACAGCATTGTGGGTGGGGGAGTTGTAAATCCTCCAAGGCTGAATCCTGTAGGCGGGACTGCCACCTGAATCTTACGGATACATCTTAACTTCGCCAGCTTGCGTGGTCGGCTGTCAATACTGAATCCACTAGGCATGGGGTATGACCCAGGAACTGTGATATTCATCAGAATTGCATAGCTCTCCTCCAGAGTTAGAAGACCTTTATCATTAGTAGTTGAAAAAGCTGGTCCCTTTACAAATTCTTCCTGGGAAACAGCTAGGAAACGCAGCTTGGACAGGATATCACGGCCAATGGCTGAACGTTTGTTATCTCTGTCAGGGGGGTAGCTGGCTTTGAGGCACTGCTGCTCTGCCCAGTTCTCTACTGCTTTCAGAATCTCAACCTCTGGTACATCAAGACAGTCCAACTCCACTATCATGTTCACAACATTTTGGTCCACATTTTGGAAGTTCTTGTGTGCTAGTATCAGTGACGGATTTTTCCTCATAAACTGCAACAGCATATAACACATCTCTATTAATATTTACAGGCTATGTGGCACACTGCTGTGATGGTAAATATACAGTCCAGCTGGCCACCACCATTCACAGCAGTTCCTCTTCCCAGATATGGGTGAAAATAGAAGAAGGCTAGGAAACGGAATTGGCCTCAAATGTAAATTCAAAGTCTGATGCAAGGGTTTGCTTTCCTCTTATATTTATATATTAAGCCTTGGAAAGTGTAATATCACAATATATTTCAAATTAGTTGCAATCTAGAGTGAAGAGTCCTATCTTCTGGGATATAATGCCACATAGTCCACTGAAAGTAAATCAACACTTTGGAGGATCATATCATCTTCATCTTCAAGGCTGAAGAATAAACCTAGCAAGAAACCAACATGAAAGCAGGTGGGAAGCAGAGCCACTATGAGACAGCCCTGCATTTCAGAGGAACACATCACTTTCATCCTCAGGGTTGAAGAGCAAGCTGCTTAGCAAGGAGACCAACAAAAGCAGATGGCAAATTGAGACATTCAGCTTCTGCTGAGTTCTAGCTCTGCTTATTCTTCAACCCTGGAGATGGTATGTTCCTCTGNGGGGGGGGGGGACCTCTGAGACACTGGGCTCTCTCTGAATTACATGACATTACCAGCCAGAAAACCATACTCTTGAGAACGACCTGTTTCAACAAGTTAAGAAAAATAAATTAGTGTGCCTCCATATTACAGACTGTTGCCTTTATGGAAATCATGAAGATTGATAATAAATTCATTACACAAGCCATAACTTTGCCATTATGGATATTTGAAGAAAAAATTATGTTCTAACATTAAATCCAAAACAGCAAAAAATTCTGCCATGATATTCTTTTCACAGAGACTGTTAAGAAATTCAGATTGTATATGTGTATATGTGACACAGCAACTAGCCACTGGCATGTATGCACATGCATCAGTGATGTAAGATGGTAGTGGACAGTATGGTTACTAATCCTGCCATATTTCAGACTGTGCACTGTATTTCACTTATTTCTAAGATGTCTGGAAGAAGGCCATCAGGTCAAGTACAGGTTGTACACCTAGAAGTTATTTCTGGGTATCTACCATTATTTTTGATGGGTAAAAAAGCATGAACCAAAAAATTTTCCATAGGAACATATTCCTATTTGATATGTGAGCCAATTGAAAACTAGGGTCAGTTGTACAGAACTGCATAAAGAGGACATATACGTAAAAACACCATCCCTTCCGCAATGAATTTTCTAAATTAAATAATTCACATCTCAAGACCAGCTACCAGATTTTGCTAAAACATTCGACAGACGGGTAACTGAGAACTAAACCCATTACCCCTTCAGACTGGAAATCCAACTGATACAGTAAAGCCAAACAATACCAATGACATCAGGAATATTAACAGACTTGAAATATATAAAACATAAAGTATGTAGGCAGTATCCTGAAGACAAAATATGTAACTGATCCCTTTAAGAGCACGCATGCTAACACGAATAACTCATTACCTTCCCACATTCCTCCTTAAGAACAGGCTCTTGAAATTCAGAAAGCAGCTGTAAGATCGGCCATACTGTATCAAAGTTCATGTCTCGCACCATGTACTTTGCAGACACTTCGCAAAGATGAGGCATATTATATTTCACAGCTGCCTTATAAACAGAGCTGGCATCCTCAGCACACTTCAGGTCTATTTTGTCAAGGTACATGTAACTAAATAACAGAAAATTATACATTTAATATAAAATAACAAGTTCTAAGAGTCACTGTTTACATTCCCTACAGAAAGGACAACACTTTGTAAGACGAGGCACCAACTAAATAATTAACATTAATATTACTACATCTACATCACGAGCCTCCAAACCAGTTTATTATACAGGGTGAATCATATAGAACCAGCCCGATGAATTTGCTAATAATTCCGCATGTGATGCATATAACTGCTCCCAATTATGACATAATAATCCGTGGGCCGTGCTGAGTCGAATGGTGTGCACATGATCCGGCAAGTGGCAGCCCTTATGCTGCAAGGTCAAGGACAATCCCGAAACGTGCCTGCAGTGCACAGGTGACAGTCATGGAGTACACTGTTGAACAGAAAGTGTTTCTCGTGCGCACATGGTGACAGGCTCGATTGCGAACACACAATTGGAATTCAGGAGGAAGTTTGGAGTTCGCAAGAAGTCAGCGAAATCGACTATACAGTCCTTGGCTCAGAAACTGGAAAGAACAGGGACACTTTTAAGTGAACGTGGTAAAAACCACCCAGAAATGCCAGAAGAAACGATTGCAATTGTCCAGGAGAGGTTACTGCAGTCTCCCAAGAAATCATTACGATGTCTAAGCCAGGAAACTGGGTATTCTTATTCAACGTGTCAACGGGCTGCAAAGAAAGTGAATCTTCGTCCCTACAAGATGACCAGTGTTCAGGAATTGGGTGTTGATAAAGATAAACGGGTACAGCACTGTTTATGGTTTTGGGAATTCGTGCACAATAACCCCAGAATTTTGTATATCACTTGGTTTAGTGATGAAGCATGATTCCACCTATCAGGATATGTAAACACACAAAATTCCAGGGTCTGGGCGTCTGAAAACCCACATGAGATTGCTGAATCACCACTACACCCACAAAAAGTGGGTGTGTGGTGCGCCATTTCTGGTTTACGAATCATTGGACCAATCTTCAACACGACCGTGGAGAGCACCTTATACTGCCATATTTTTTACGATTTCATGCAGCAGCTGCATGATGTGGAACTTACACAGGGTTGAAGAAAGCAGTCTTCTGGGATTTGGCACCATGTATATGTGGTGTTAACCGACGTTTCGGAGGAACGTATCGCCCCCATCTTCAGGGTTGAAGAAGTATAGGTAAATCTGCAAGTGACAACACCGTGAGACACGGTCAAGAGTCTGCTTGACCGTGTCTCACGGTGTTGTCGCTTGCAGAGTTACCTATACTTCTTCAACCCTGAAGATGCGGGCGATACGATACTCCGCACCGTCGGTT